ATGATTATCTCAATAGAAAATTTATATACTTTGACACTCGTTTTGATAAGCTCGATCAAGAGATGCACGTGGATGATTCGTTCGGTGCACTATGAATATAATGGAGAAAGTTGGATGACTGAGATATGATATGTTATTCTTTATATGTTAAAGAAGTTATTACATTGCACTTCAATGAATGTCTACTCAAGGAATCTGTGACCATAGTGGGAGTATACTAATAGAGCATAGTTGATTTACTCTACAACTAAGCCATTTAAGAATAAAAAAAAAACTTGTGTGATCATGAAACGGAATTTAAACCAAGTTCGAGATCACATTGTGATAAATTGACATGAGGACTGAATTGTATCGTAACCATGCTTGTAAAAGGTAATAGTAGATTAATTAATCCTTATAGAAAATTAGATAGTCAAGATATCTTACAAGATGCCAATCTTGATTTATGTATCGAGAGATAAAAGAGATGTCTTTTATTCTTAATACATTGCCAACATATCTAGGACCTTATTGAGTCACGTGTATAAGTTTAAATATTCATATAATAAAAGAGAAGCAAAGATTTTAAAAAAAGTTTTTAGTTTTGAAAGTTTCCTGTTTGGAAAAAAGATTCCTAAAATGGAAAGTTTTCCATTTTAGAAATTAGTTTCCTAATTTGAAAATTAGTTTCAAATTTGGAGTATAATTACCTAAAAAGGAAAGTAGTTTTCTAGTTTATATTTAAGGGTAATTTTAGAAATTACTTTCTAATGTGGGTCTTCTAAAATATCTAACCCAATTTATTTGGATGGACCAAATTAATTGGTAATTAATTGGACCAAAATTTTTTAGCCGAGTATACTTAATTTAAAAGCCTACAAGATATTTTTGTGAAAGATAAACATGAGCTCTATTGGATATGGTTCAAAATTTATAAGGATAAGGTTAGACAAAACCCACATAGGCAACATCTCCTTGGCCTACAAGGAGAAGTTGCCGCCCTTATATAAATAAAGGAGAGAAAGGCGACATCAAGTGTAACAAAGAGTAAATACATAGTAAAAATAAGAAAAAGAGAAAAGAGTATACATAGGCAACATCTCCTTGTTTTTTTTGTAATGTATACATCTTTATTTGAAGTGTAAGAAAATAGATTGAAAGAGAGTGGAATTTTAAATACAAGAGAGCAAAAACATAGATTGATCGACATGTGAGGATGACAATAAACCGTAGCATATTAATTTTTTTACTATGAATTTCAATTTAATTCATAATATTTTTAATTTTAATATAACAAAAATTATAATAAGTTTTTTGTTTTACTTGTTAGTTATTATGAAAAATATCAAAATTATTAAAATTAAATTCTTGCAAAAACACGATGACGAAAAAAAATATCGATAGTTAAATGACTTATGAGCGACGAAATAGCGATGGATTTGCGACCAAAATTAGTATTAGATAATTACGATGGCTTTTCGATCGATATTTAGCGATGGATTAAAGACGCATTTACGACGTATTAATAAGCCATTCATAGGAGACTAGTGGGGAGAGAATAACTCGATGGTGGTGGGTTTGACTACTAGGATGAAGGTCTCCCCAAAATTGATTCCTTCCTCGTTGGTGATAGCCTTTGGCAACTAACCTTGCTTTGTACCTTTCAATGTTGTCATCCGTATGTTTTTTTTTTGTTTTGAAGACCCACTTGTTCTCGATAATATTCATCAAAGGATTTGTAGGGACGAGGGACGAAGTTCCCGTTTTCAAAAAGGCATTGAACTTTGTTTCCATAGCTTTACGCCATTCAATTTATTGTTTGGCTTCGATGTAGCAAGATGGGCTTTTAGGGATAGTCGAGTGAGATACCGCAAGAGTCGCTTTGGGGCCCATATGCTTTAGTACCACGGGGTGTGTCCGTATGGGTTCCAGTTAGAAGGAGAACTTTTACCCGCACACTAGTTAGTCAAGTCATATTTGCTAAAATCTAACAATAAATTCAAACCTGGTGTGGAGGAATGGCTTGGGCTTGATGGTTGGTGTAGTGGGTTGTTGATTTTGTGGACTATAGATGGTGAGGTATGTGTTTGGGCTGTCATGGTGTTGCTATTCATGAGAGAGTGTGGGTTTGAGCTTTTTGGTGGATGGTTTGTCGATAGAGTGGGGTGATGCCGACTCGTATTAAAATCATGGTGAGAGGATAGATTCGATGGAATGGGGACACTTATCTAAGGGGTGGAATTATTCTACTAAGTGGAGATTTTGTTAGAAGATGCATGTTATGTGAATGGAAAAATTGTTTCAACAAAGCAAACATGACGAGCCATGTAAAAACGATTTTTTATGTTATCAAAACAACGATAGCCTAAGTGTGATGGACTTTAGCCCAAAAATATGTAAGTGGTAGATCGAAAATCAATTTTGCGATGGTTATAAGGCCTTAGATATGCAAAACAAAGGCAACAAAAAAGTTTCGAAAAGATTAATCGAGGCTTTTATGAAAAACAAGTTCAAAGGGTAATTTATACTTAGTGATAGAAGAGGGTATTCTAGTAATTAAAAACATAGCCGTTTCAAATGCAAAGGTCCAATATTGTTTAGGAATGTGGGTCTCGGCTAAGAGAGTGAGGCCCGTTTCCACAATGTGACGATGTTGTCTCTCTATAGTGCCATTTTACTCATGTGTATGAGGACATATGATACGGTGAGCAATTCCAATATTTAGAAAGAGTTTATTTAGTCGAAATTCCCCACCCTAATCGGTTTGGATTTGTTTAATTTGACACTTAAACCGACATTCAACCATTTTTTGAAACCGTATAAAGACATTATAAACCTCCGATTTTTTGTGCAAAGGATCAAACCAAATATATTTAAAGAAGTGATCAACAAAAACATATAATATTTAAATCCATCACTAGAGGTAATAGGAGAAGGGTCCCAAACATCACCGAAAATTAAGTCTAAAATACCGTAACTTAAAGTGTTTGATAAGGGCAAGTGATAAGCGACTTACTTTCCTTAATGGACAAGATAAGCACCGACTAGATAAATTGAAAGAGTTCAATGAAGAATGCTATTTTAAAAGAAAATTTAATACTATGTGGTGGGGATGACCCATTCCGGAGTGCCAAATATTTGCGGGGACTTTTGGTGAAAAGGCTTTAGGACTCGAAATTGGAAGATGAAGGCTTTAGGAAGTACGAGTTAGCATCACTTCTTCCCGAAAGAAGTTTGGTCTTGTGTACTCGGTCCTTAGCATAAAAGATGAAGGGGTGAAATTCCCAAAACAAGTTATTATCTTTAGCAAAACGTTTAATAGAAAGTAAGGGTGTGGTTATTTGTAGAACGTGTAACACATTAAGTACGAGATTTTTAGCAGTATGTTTTAATATGACTTGAACTAATAGGCAAAATAGGTAAAAACTCACCATTGCCAACTTGAAGTTGTTCATTAACCGTGTACGGCTCATATGTGCTAAAACTAGCCAAATTTAGAGTCACATGGTGTGATGCATCGGTGTTAAGGCACCAATCATGGGAGCACAACTAAGATGAAGAAGAGGCAATGATGTTGGCCGTGGGCCGTTGTTGTCTTGTGTAGCGTTGTGGGCGGTGAGCAACGAGTGTGATTCTAGGAGGAGCAGAGTTGACATCTTGTGTAGAGTCTTGCTCATTCCAATAACCCCTATTTTCATACCGAAAGGAGCTACCATTTCGGAGTTGGAACAACCACATCCTCGACCTCTATGCTCGTCTACCACGACCACGGTTGTAGCCTCCATATTGATCACCATGGTGAGCAAAATTTTTTGTTATCATGTTGGCAATGGGTGGAGTAGGTAGTAGAATTATCCTTGGTGGTGAAGGAATGTCTAAATCTTCGATCGAAACTCATGACTAATTAGGAAGCTATGGAGGTCGGTGAATGGTACTAGTTCGGCATGGGTTGAGAGGTTGGTGACAATATCTTTGAAGTCACCTGGAGAGGCATTTGAAGATGTAGAGATTGAAGTCAATTAGGGAGAGGGGACAACCAACTGTTGTTGGTTCATCACTAAGAGCTTTGACACGATAAAGAAATTAAGATACCGGCTCATGGCATTATTGCTTTATTCTTTGCAAAGCAAGGTGGAGTGACATTATGCGAGTGCTAAAGGGGGAAGCTAGGTCACTCTCGAGTGCACGCCATACTTCTTGTGAGGTGGTGCGGTCGATGACCATGGGAAGCACTTCGTGAAGAGGGCGGAGATGATTGTGCTCATTAATAGCTGGTCCTGCGGATCCATGATTTGTGAGCTGGATTGATATGAGGAAGGCTAGTATTAGTAGCAATAACATGGCTTGGAGGGCAAGGGAAGGAGCCATCCACAAACCGAAATAGGTATGGGCCAAGAAGGAATGATTTAAGCTGGATTTTTCACCATATGTAGTTTGTTTGGGTTAATTTTAGAGAGATGAAGTGGTGGGAATTGGTTAGTTGGGTAATGGGGCTGATGGATTGATGAATAACTAGAGTTGTTTCAGCAGTGGTGGTGGGAGATGTTGTGTTGCTGGAAAGAGCCATTGTTTTTCAGAAGAGGAAGGGAAACAGAGGCTGTCAGGTAAGGAAAGAAAAGGTCTGTTGTGGTAGGTATATTTGGAGCTGGCGTGTTTTGGTGAGGGAAAAGAAAAAGGGTTTTGGGCAGTAGCCAACTGAGTGCAGTAGGCTAGCGTGATTTGCAGCAGGAAGGGGAAAAAAGAAGAAGGGGATTTGCAGTGGCTGGCGTGATTTTGAGCAGTAGCCAATTGATTGCAGTAGCTGGCGTGATTTGCAGCAGGAAGGGAAGACATATTTTTTTGCTGTTAAGCTTAAACAGCTCTAATACCAAATTGAAATGGGAGAATACGTGCTGGAATAATATCTCTCTCTTTATTATTTCTAGGGTATTAACACATCCCTTTTTATATGCATACACAAGTATATAAGTATATTTTACATAGTACTCTTGGATACTTATCTACAAGGTTGTTGGATAGAGTTAGGACTTGCAGAGCTTTATCTCTTCCAGCAGTAACGGGTTATCTCTGCCACCTTTTCTAGAGCAGGAACGGCATGGGACATCTCTTCCAGCAGGAGCTTTACTACTAGTAGGACTTTGTCTTAATAAAGCACGTCTATTTTCAAATTTAGTTAATTAAGTATCATTTTCTAAAATTGAAAATTTATCTCAAGCTAAGAGTAGTTTTATTCACTACTTAAGTCATTATTAGAAACTTACACATTTCATTTTCATTAATATCATCATTCATTCTCACCATTCATACCTCTTTGTTTGAATAATATATATTTTTAATTTGAAAAATTATACTTAATTAGTTGAAATAAAAAATATAAAAACTCAATTGGTTGAAATAATAACATAGGAGCTTTTTTTGATGAATTGAGAGAAAAAAAAACCATGGTGCAAATAATGGGTTTCACCAATTTGTTTTTACATTAAAACAAGCGGCACATATTATCAAACACAATTTAGCTTCACAGGAGTCTTGTTTGATCCCTTTTATTGCTTGAAGATGCAATTTGGTCCCAATCCTTGTTTCATGCATGGAAATAAGTGCTTTACTTAGGTGTTAATTGTAAACATGCACCCCTACGTGTGATCTTCCAGAGCAGCACAAGAAAAAAGCCACGCAAGTCCTGTACGTACCAATCAACAAAAAACATAGAACACAAAAATGTTGACCTAGTCCCGGCAAGAATAGGACCAACTCAATAAGTCGTAGAACCTCCTATACAAATCGAGTCGTTTGTACTTTTAATAACGCAAATTCGCCGTTCATTTTGTCAAATTCAAATGCTACGTTTTTGGTCAGCAAAACTGAAAAAGATGGCATATTATTGAAGTATCTTCTAGGCCAAATTGGCCAAGTCAAATTTTTGTCTAAGTTTTTGAAGTCTTCAATTTTCCACGGCATTTAAGTTATGGCCCGTCATATTTGCACCTGCACAAAGAAGAGGCACCCATTCCCCATTAATTTCTTATCTTGATCATTAATTGTCTCATCACGACGTATTGTTATGGAATTCTTCAACCAGGCCAAAGCAGTGAGACTGAAGAGCCACCATGACAAGTACCTAGTTGCAGACGAGGATGAAGAAACTGTTCGGCAGAGCCGCAACGGATCATCACGAAGAGCTCGTTGGACAGTGGAGTTTATTGAAGGCAATAACCATCACATCCGACTAAAAAGTTGTTATGGGAAGTATCTTACAGCCTTAGAAGAGCCATTCTTACTAGGCATGGCAGGGAAAAAAGTGATACAAGACATGCCAGTATCCGTAAAGGATGCTGCAATTGATTGGGAACCAAGAACTGAAGGGTTTCGTGTTAAGCTAAAGACAAGAGGAGGCAAGTTCTTGCGTGCTAATGGAAGCATGCCACCATGGAGAAATTCGGTCACACATGACATCCCACACAGGACTGCAACACAAGATTGGATACTTTGGGAAGTGGATGTGATGGACATAATCGAAAATAATTTACAGTTACAGGATCATATATCGCCACCTTCTAGCTTTTCTTCATCATTTGGATCGCAGCTTCCCAGTTCACTGAGTTCCGATGCTGGCTCCCATTTGGTCCCTAGTTTTTCTAGCATCAGACATTCTCTTGCAAGAGAGGTAATATGATTTTTAATCCATTAATAAACATATTCAAGCGGAAGGAGTTAAATCGGTAGCTAGGATTAATAATGTTTTTCTTTTGCTTCATATATATATAACAAAATCAATATTAAATTATATAATCTACCTATTGCTCTTTAAAAATGGATTTCTTCTTCTTCTTTTTTTTTTTCTCTCTCTTAGTTCTTAGGATAGAAAGATAAGAAAACAAATGTACATGCACGATTGATTTTGGTGTTGCAAATAGTTGATGAAACCATCGACTCAACTCAAAAGTTAATGTTGTCCGAAAGATCCACTAGTCAACTCTTTCGCCTAAACAGTTGTAGGTATACATATAGATAGATACCAACTTGCCTCTTCGTTATTTAGTATTTTTTTTATGGATCATTTTAAACTATCTTGTCCACTAAATTATTTTGTTTGGCCAAAGGTCAACTTAATGCAATTGATGTCTCACCCACCAAGTATACTCTCATTTTATTTTTTATTTTTTAATCTTTATGGAATTAATATGTTTCATTCCTTAAGAAATTTCAGTTCGAAATTCTCCTTCATAATAATAATAATCTTTATAGTACGCATAAAATAATATAAATTTCAATAAATAATTTCAACTCAAATTTCTAACTTGACAATATCCATAGCTACTAGTTTGATTCCTATTTTTCAATTCCTCTTGTTTCAAGGGCTTCCCTTCCTGTTTAAAAGATTAAAAAAAAAAAAAAAAAAACAATATTAGCTACTCGTTCTTTAAAAATAATAAAATTTTGTCCTCTTCCAACATACCTGGCAAAGTAAAGAGTGAAAATTTCCTGCTCCTTTTCTTTTACAAAAGATAATACATTCATTTGGTCTTCTTAATTAAAATTACTTTAATTTGATCTCTAGGAAAACAAATTTATATATCGCTTCCATTCTCAGAAGAATTTCAAAACGGGTGGTCCTAAATTCTATTTTCGCTATTTTTTTAAATGACTATTGCAATCTTTCATATCATTATTGATGAAGAAGGTATATTTTAAGTTGGAATGTAATAAATATTAATGAACTACGAGTGATCATTTTAAGAAGCTTAAGCAGTGGGAATAATACAATCATTAGCGAATTTAGAAGTATTTATCTCTATTTTTTTAATTTATGGAATATATATAGAAAAAAATTTATTTTGGTGTTAGTAAATTTGGATTGTACAAATTAAGATTATATGACCAACTTGTAATTATGTATATAGCACATCCGAGGAAATATTCATGTTTTTAACAAAGCAAATCTAATAGTAGCTGCGTGATAAATAATTATTTAGTACATCTCCTACTTTATTGCTTCACCATTGATAGAAGTTTCCCCAACACCTCACAATCTTCTCATACCCATATACCATTAGAGTTAAGATATAATCTTAAAGCCGTTTGCTGCTTTGAGTCAGGTATTTTATCAAATTATATAAATATTTCTTTCTTTTATTTTCTTGCTCTGCTTTCTTTCATATGTTAAATCTCTTGTTAATAAAATTACTGTACATTTAGATATCTTATTGGTCTGTTCTATATAATGTGGTAACCTGCAGAGTGCTATGGAAGTTTTTGAAAAAGCAAAATCTGTTCGTCTTCGGAGCCACCATGACAAGTATCTGTTTGCAGATGATGATAAAGAAACCGTTGGCCAAGAGCGGAATGGGACAATCAGGAATACAAAATGGACGGTGGAGATTGTGGGAAATTGCAATGTTATACGTTTGAAAAGTTGCTTTGGCAAATACTTAACAGCCAGTAACATGCCGTTCTTGCTAGGGATGGCAGGCAAGAAAGTGCTGCAAACTTTGCCTGCTGGACGATTGGATTCTTCTGTGGAATGGGAGCCTATTAGGGAAGGTATACAGGTTAGGTTCAGGACACGTTACGGACAATATTTACGCGCAAATGGTGGCGTACCACCATGGAGAAACCATGTAACACATGATATTCCTCATAGAACTGCGACGCAGGATTGGATTCTATGGAATGTCGATGTTGTAGAGATAAGAGTTCCAGATCCTAAACCTCCGCCACCACCACCGCTGCCGCTGCCTAGTGATAATATTGAAACAGTACCGGATTCTGAGCCTAATTCACCAGCGTCATATATTTCAACTGTATCCCCCGGATTGACAAGACAAGAGGTTCAAACATTAAACTCACTAATGCTTGAAACAAATTTTTTTTTTTTTTTTTTTTTTGGCAAATTAATGAGGATTTATTTATATAAGATTGTTTTCTTTATTCTTTTGTGTGTGTGTGTGCAGTCTGATGATTCTTTGGAGGGTTCACCAGTAAAGAACGAAGGCAGGGTTATACGTTACATTGTGGCTATGAAAGAAGATATTGATGCTGACAATGTTGATGAAAATAAAGAACTTTGCTTCTCATTTAAGGGAAATGTGGTGGAGGAATTGAAGAATAAGTTGGAAGAAGAGACAGGACTAACTGATATCCAAGTTTGTTCTAGGAATCCATTAAATGGGATGTTTTATCCCCTTCGGTTACATCTTCCACCCAACAACACAGAAATGCATGTTGTTGTGGTTCCCTCATCAAGGCGAGATTAGTTTATTTTATCTTTTATTTTTTCAAATTAGTGGGTGACGATAAAGATAGTAATTATCATGCATATAGCCAGAATATGGCCATTTAATTTCCTCCAGGCAAGGCCTGTATAGAGATAAATCATAGAGCTAGGCTATAGCGGTTAAAAAATTGTTACGTTTGACTTGTAATGATTCCAGTTTTCTTTTATTAATGGAAGAGGATATTCTAAATATATAGGATTGATCAAAATTGATTAGACCTCTGGGAAAACAAAATAAAAATTAAAACAGGTCCTAGTACTCACTACAACATATTAGAACTTATGCAGCGGTTTGAAAACTGCTGCATTACCTCTAATGCATTGGTTCGCCAGTCACTACATCCGTCTGGCGCTGCAATAAGGCCATGCAGCGGTTTTGAACATCTAATGCAGCGGAACCGGTTTCATTGCATAGTACCCCTCACTTGCAGCGGTTTTCGTGTAAAATTATGCAGTGGTTTGAAATGTGATATAGCAACGGTTTAAGACAAAGCTTATGCAGCGGTGTTGAATAAACTAATGTAGCGGTTTATATAAAACATAATGCAGCTTTTTTTAATCTACTAATGTAGCAGTTTACATAATACATTATAAAACGATTTTAAATCAACTAATGCAGCGATTTGTATAATATATTATGCTATGGTTTTGAGTCTACTGATGTAGCTATTTATAGTCTTTAATGCAATAATTTACAATATTATTTTTATTTTCAATTGCAACAGATTTGATTAAATGATTATGATATAGTTATAATAATTTTAAAAAAATAATTCCAAATATTAATTAATTTATAAGGAGAAAAGTAATAACCTAAGAAGTTTGTTAACATAATTGTAAAAATTAAGTAACCTATTACAAGAAACATAATAATCCAAATATCTAAACATCATTAAAAAACACAACATAATATAAATATTTTAAAAAATAATTCAAAGTTCCTACTAGACAAATTTAATAGTTGATTTCCAACTTCAAGTAGTTGAAAACACTAGACAACCTGCAATTTTAGGAAAAAAGCTTAATTAGCAATGAAATACAACAATTAGAATAATTAAATTGTGTTTTTATCAAATAACGGTTATAAAAATTAGTAGTACCTAAAGATTATGATTGCTACCCGACGAATGTGAATTCCTTATGTTATTCCCTCCATTTGGTCCGCTATTAGCATCTCTTGGGGATTGTGTACTTACAGCCAATGTCTTTAACATCTCAAGATTCACATTTAGACTCGGGTTCAAACCTTGGAGCTGTGTCCGGACTGATAGCATTATTTCTTTATGCAAAGTAGCTTTCTGCTCTTCTAGTTTTTCTTCCATTTTTGTTTTCATTTCTTGTGTAATTTCTTGTCACATCTTTTCTTCTACACTACTTTGATGGCATTTAATAGTCATAGATGATTGATAAAGGTCTGCCTTGCCTTTCAAATCAGATGACCTGACAGCCCTCCCATATAACATAACACGTCCAAGTCACATTCCAGCTCCCATCATTGTAGAAAATGCATCAACAGATTCACCACCTTCACTTGAATGTTGAGACTCCACTTCTAGCATTTGAGCCTACAATGGAATCATAAGTTCCTTAAAAATATAGTTCATACAGTACATGATAAAGGAATTAAAAAATCTTTTAATAAATTATAAATATAAGGAAATAAAATACTGAAAGTTCTTACAGTCTTGGTAACTGTATCCTCATCTGATTCCTTATAAGAATGTCCAATTTTTCTTTTTCGAGTTTCAATAAACATTTCAGAACGGGCTAGTGCTTCCTTATTTTCCTTTGCATCTTGTTGCATATCATGAAACAAATTTTAGCTACAATAAATTGAATGAAGTGAAGATAAAAATATCATGACTAAATGATTACAACCCTTCATAGAGTTCCAATAAACATAATTGTAGCAAGTGACTTTCCATGAACGAAAGGAAAAAAAATTCTAATACAACACTTTTTGGAAAATAGAGGAAAGGTCCCATGACAAAAGGATAATCAATCTAGAGTAAAAACAAAGGTTATGACTGTAATAAAAATGAGTACATTTATTGCAGATTGTAAGTAAAAGCAGAGTTTATAATGTGATATAACACATCTGTCTTGGATGATTCTAGTGCTTGAGATTTTGCTTTCCCTTAGTATCAACTTCAAGTTTTCACTTTTCATCATTGAGTTATTTTGTTTTTCCTCTCTTTGCTACCATATCGCATTTATGCTACAACACTTTTTGGTGTCCACTGTCTTTATTGAAAACTCAAAACAGCCCAACAACCTATAGTTTTTCAAGGAATTCAGATCCAATATCATAGGAATTCTCTTCTATTGTATTGCAAGATTTATACTGACTACCTATAAGAAGAGTTTAGCCTTAGAAAATACGTTTCAATTCTGTTTCTATGTAGAGAAAAAGAAAAAAAAAAGGAAATCAGACTGGTTGTTTCATACAATATTAGAAAAGACAAACACGTCAATTCAGTCTCCTGCAACTGAATATTGCCTCAATGTTTAGTACACATGAGAACCAAATAATCTCATAGCTCAATCATATGAAAATTTTTACAACTTTGTATCAACAAATTCCAACATAAGCATCCAAACAAAGTATCAAAATACCAAACATGTTCAGCCTTATATTTTGTCTAGCCCACTCGAACCCAGCCCTAAGTTTGGAAAAGAATATGGAGCTTAGTCCTATAAGATTGACTACTGCTATTTCCAAATTAGAAATAGGATCATTCAATCATGGCTATGCCACCAAAGGTTCTGAATTCTAAGGAAATAATCCTAAAATTTTTTACAGCAACTTGAATAAATATAGTTGGACTTAAAACTTAGATTCTTAGCTTACTTTAGAAAATAGAATTTGTGGCAGATCATGGCCAGCTACTAGAATAAAGATAACTATGATATAAACGACAAATTTTCATGTTGCATAAGGTTCTCAACATAGGATGATAGGATCATAATTAAAAGCAAATGTCCTAGGAACATGATTAAAAGCAGAAGAAATAAAAGAAGTGTTGGTGGCCATAATTTCTTCTCTAATCAAATAGGAGAAGAAGAGCATTAGGATAGTATGCTCAAACAAGTCAGAATCGTATAAATATTTAGCCTTAATAATTTGAATTTATAGTTTATGAGGTTCATGTAATAAACTCGAAAATAGCTTTATCAATGATACTAAGCAGCCTTAGTAACTCTCAGAATACAAAGAAGGACTCCAATATACTTACCCATATCATGAGAAAACTTGACATTCAAAATCTTGCCTATCCATTGTATTAAATTTCTCAATGTTGCATATTTTTTATTTTAAAAAAAAAAGATGACAGCAATTTTAGTAAGAAATTTAACAAGAATATTCAGTAGTGAAAAAAAAAAACAAAGTAATGTTTCTTATCAATTTCTTTCTTATCCTAACGAAACTCTATTTACCCGTTGTGTGCATATTCTTTTTCCTTTTGCGATTTCCAATATTTTTCTATCACCATCTGCATAATAATTTCAATTAAAAACATTAGCATAAACTTTGATGATATAAATAAAATATAAAGGAGTAGTGAAAAAATTTTAAAACTCTTATACCTTAGCATGATCTGAATTCCAATACTTCAATAATTCTCTAAACTTATCCTCCGGAATGTGTTTTGGACGATTTATCATTCTAAGCTTGTCAGTTTTATACTTGTAATAATGATCCTTCTTTAATTGACATTTGTACAACCTCTAATTATCTCCTATTGTGGCCAAAACCCATTTCTTGCCTTTGGAAGGAACTATGTATTTTTTTTACAATAAAAATAAAGGTTGGCATTGGCATTAAAATATGAGGATGGATTATATAAAATTGACCATGACAACATACAAGTATCATGCTACTGCTTCTCAATAACTACATGTAAAAGAAAATTCATGAGAACATGCATAACCTTTTCTAAAAGCCATATAACATTGATCCACATAGATCCTGCCCTTGATCCATGTACTTAAAAGCCTTGATCTTGAGAATTACTACGGTTTTGCTCTCCTAAATGATCACTATGTACAGTATACAATCAAAGTCCCACATACCATTGCATATTTAAAGGCACCACTCCTTCTGATGGAGATGCAATGTTATTGTCAAATATTGCTCTTCTTCTACTGTTTGCTCTCTTAATTGCATTTAGGGCATGCTAACTTCCCTTTAGTGCTCCATCCAGACAGTATTGCATATGCTGAAAAATCATTAATTGTCCACAACAAGCTACATGCATGCGAAAAGTTTGGTTTGTTGAAGTGTCATAAGTATCAACACCAACCTCCCACAAATTCTTCAAGTCTTGAATTAGTGATTGCATGAAGACATCAATGTCTTTTCCAAGAGATTTAGGAACTGGAATTATCATAGACAACAAATAGTATTCAAGCTTTATGCAAATCCATGGCGATAAGTTATAATTGATTAACACCACTGGCCAGGTGCTACAAGAAATGCTCATAGCTTGGAATGGATTGAATCCATCACCAGTAAAATCCAATCTCACATTTTGAGAGTCTTATGCAAACATAGGGTAAAGATAATCAAAATCCTTCTAAGCTTTCATCAACAGGATGTCTTAGATTTCCATCATTTAGACACTCTGTTGAATGCCATCTCATTGCCGTAGTTGTTTCTTCACACATGAACAACCTTTGAAGCCTAGGTGTCAAAGAGAAGTATCTTAACACCTTAGCCGGGATTTGGTAAGTACTAGTTGAATGGATATTGATATCTCCTTGAAACTTTTCATCCAACATATACCTAGAGGCACCACAAATATGACAAACAGTGGCATTTTTATGCTATTCTAAAATAACATGCAGTAATTTGGGCATGCATGAATTTTTTGGTAATCAAGACCTAAATCTCTAACTATTTTTCTTACTTTGTTGAAAGATTCTAGAAGTTTTGCTTCAGGAAAAACCTCTTTCAATAACTCCAAAAGATCACCAAATGAACATTACTAAGTCCATGGAGGCACTAAAAAAGGTATAACCGAATAGTGAAAGAAAGCCTTGAGAAATTCTTATAGCCCAACTACAACTCTTATTTTTCTTACTCCACCAACTTATAAAATTTCTCAATCTCTTTAGTTGGGCCATCTCCAAATCCTTAGGTGTTGGCAACTCCTTCGACAATATTTTTATAAACATCATGCAACATGCCATCCATGTCATTAACATTTTCTACTCCCACATCATCAAAGGGAGAGTCTTCATTATGCATTCTTGATGATAACCCCTCTCCATGAAAAACCCATTCATTATACCCTTCAAGAAAGTCATATGTAATTAAATGATCGTGCACAATCATTTTATGCTCCTAATAACGGTTGCTGCACTGTTTGTAAGGGCAAAGACTCTCTTCCCCTTGAGCTATTCTTTGAAATGCCTTGTCCAAAAAATCATCAACTCCATTCATATATGCTTCACTAATTCTTGGAAGAGTCATCTAACTCTTATCCATAACTTGAAGATTCTAATACAATCAATTATTATTACGAATTAGAATCTATATAACGCATAAAAAGGATAGTAATATGAAACCTTTTAAGTCCTAATCAAGCATTTTCTTAAGAAAATTCAACCATAAAAAAGGAAAATGATAAGGACAGTAAAAAAAAACCCTATAAATCTCTAAAGAAAGGGAGTCAATACCTTTAATGTTGTGGCTTTTATCAGTAAGTGTTTTTTTTTTATGTTTCTTTTTCTTTTAGTTTAGCATCCAATGATAGGATGCATGACATCCAATGATAGGATACATGACATCCAATGAAAGGAAATTAGTTTGAATTCTTTTACTCTAGATCCTTGGATTTTAATTCAAAATTCTCAATTGATTTCACCTTACTGTAACCAGCATGCAGACTTATTGTAGATAGCACGCCTCTGTTGCGAGCTAGCACTCCTATATTACGAGCCAGCATGCAGCACTCCTGCGAGCCAGTACGTAGGTTACTGTAGCCAACACACAACACATCACTACGAGCTAGCATGCAGTGCACTGTGAGCCAGCGTGCATGGCCACTACAAGCCAGCACATATGGCCATTATAGACAGCACGCATGAAAGTCTCTGAAGGACAAACTTCTTCTACAGCTCAAACACTCTAGGTCTTATCTTATATAGCGGTAATATCTATCTTGTATAGCTATAATATTTATCTTGTAATGTGTATATAAACCTTATTCTGATCAAAAAATATTAATCAATACACTTATTCATGAAATCTTTACAGGGGAAATCTTTGTGATTTAAGTTGGTTATTATAGATATGCTACAAAATTCGAACAAGAGTTCAAATGAAGGACGACACAAAGAAAATGCAAAAAGGAAATGCTATATAGCTCTTCGTTAGTTCAAAGAGGTACCAAAATTTGTAAGTGAACGAGGGAAAAAGACACTAATAGAGGGCCACAAAGTTGCATTCAAAGGTTCATTTTATTTTTCATACATCCTAACTGCTGATGTCATTAGTTTTCTTCTGCTATTGAAAATCCTGAATTAAAATTTTGTGTCAACCCTTGCATTAATACTTAAAACACTGGGATTTCAATGTATAATGTATTCCAGCTGTTGCTAGTCATATATAGGGTGAATGTATTGGTAGGGAGCTGGCAATTTTTTTTGTTCCTAGATAATGGTAGTTTTTCGTTCAGATTGGCAAATGTTGTATCCTTTGTTAATGCAACAATTTGTATGGGTTGCATTGTTTGAAGTGAATTATGTTTTTATATATTCTTCTATCTCTTCCTGTGGGCATGTTTTCAGCTTACTATATGTTCTTTTCTTTTTCTTCATTATTCTTTAGCTTTCAATTTTATGTTTTCATTTTTAATCCTCGACATCAAAACTTGCAGATTTAGATCCCTCTTCATACTCTAAGAACATAGTTAAGTGTTCTTGGAATTTAGATGAAAATGTATGGGTCTGTATCTAGCTCCAGACTGATAAATCATCTCCAAATGAGTTCAATACCTTCAAAAAGGTCTGTTTTATCACCTTTGTATATGTATATGTATATATGAATTGTTATGTATGTATGTCGTGTGTATTTCTCATGCTTTAACTATATGCTAGTGTCATATCAATTTGACACTATTCTTTTTTATCTTTTATATTTTTGATGAATTCATCAAGTGGACTAAATAAAACTTCTTTCTAGTTCTTAACAAATTACATTAAAGTGAAAAATAGTTTAATATGTTTTTGATGAATTCATCAAGTGGACTAGACTACGTAAAACCAATCTTGGACTGACAAACAATGTTTTGCAGGTTACTCTTAAAGTAGTGGCTGATAATAAAACCTTCATTGATCTGCTAAAGCCAAAAGATGAAACCTATGACACCCTTAAAGAGGATATACAAATATTGATCTCATTACTTGTGCCTTTTCTAGAAGAGATCCAATCTATTTTGGTATGCCTCAGAATTAATGCTTTCTGACTTTTATATACAGTTTCTCTTTTATTTCTCTGGTTGCTTAGATCTCTCTTTTTTTTTTTTTTGCTTTTCCTTTCTCCTGATTTTGCAGATATTGTATGGATTGGATAGGTTGAAATCTACTTCAGGTGAAAACACATAAACATAGCCATAAAAAACATGCATAAGAAAGCAGAGCAAATGTACAAAGTTTTGTCTTATGTATAACCTTAAGTTTCCTACTTAGTTTCTTTCGTGTAACTATGAATTTTGTGAATAGATGAACGAGTTACATGGAAAATATGTTGCAGCACTAACTTACTATAAGATCCATATCCTCTGTCTTTATAACAAATTGAAGGAAGTGTTGTAAACCCATAAGCCATAGAATTCAGGAAAGGATTGATTTATTTTCAATAAGCTAACAATATATAGAATAAGACATTTAAGGCAAGATTACATGCAGGTGAAGAGTGCAAGGTTAGGCAATAAATGGTCATTTCAACAAAGTTAATATTTTGGACTAGAAGAAACTGGAACTCACGTGTTAGCAGCTTTATGAAAAAACCTGTCACCTTGAGTATTATTTCACCTAAGATACAGTTAGCTACAGTTAGCTAGTTTTAAATTTTTTTTCTAGAATAGAGTTTCAGGGTTTGTTATTTTCTATGCTAGGTACTTAGTTTTTTAACCTAGGCTTTGATATTTTGAATTACTTGTAACCCGAGAATACATGATACAGAAGAATTGTTTGAATTCTCCATTCATTCTCCTTACAATGGTGATTATTTGTAGATAATCTATCTTTTGTTAGTCCATCTTCCCTTTTGATCTTCGTATCCATCCATATAACCATAGTTTCCTTTAAAATTCCAACCCCACCTTTTCTGGTATCAAAAACATAACAACAAATAATCAAAAAACTCATGGCACAAATAGTGGTGCTATGTCATCAAAACTGGATATCAGTGTCACCATTAAAAGAGTTACTCTACTTAAAATCTGCTGCTTGCAAATTAGTTTCTACATGAAAAATCCAATTTTTGCTTTCAAATTGATCCTACCAACTATTCTCATTTTGAATCCTTAAGGGAAGCCACCCTAACAGAAGGACTAGGAGTAAACCTAAAAATCTAATCCAGCAATATCTCTATCCAAGCACAGAAGGGAGATAAATATCACTAAAACCCACAGTATCAATGGCAATACATAGTTCAGAAAATCATCAAATCACAAAACATCTATAGAATGAATCAATCAAAATAAAATTTTGTTTGACATTACAAAACTTATAGAAATTCAACCTTCAATCCTCAAATGCTTTTGCCAAATCTGAATGTCAGATTTCTGTACCCATAAAATTAGAAAGCATTGAAATAATCAGCTAAAATTTAACCACCCCATTAACAAACAGAAAAATTAGTAACTGACACTAGCAAATCAAGTCCTAAAGCAGCAAAAATTAATAAGTAAGGAGAGAAACCCAATACCCAGTCCTAAAAAGATGAATTAAAACAAAATCACATATAATATCAAGACCTAAAGAGATAAATTGTATGAAAAATGCATACCTGAAAGAAGATACAACTTCATCCCAATTTTGCCTAGTTCTTCAACAAAAAACTACGAAATTCTTACACTGCGTTTTTAATAGTGGCTAATAATTCAATCTAAACTACCATTTAACTAATACATTGAAATTGTGTTTTGAATATGAAGAGAGAGCGAGAGAAAGAGAAGAGAGACACAGACAGAGACAGAGAAATGGAAAGAACGAGAGAGAGAGAGAGAGGAGAGACTAGATGTGTTTCATGGGAGAGTGGGAGAAAATTAATTTTTTTAACGGGTTAAGAGTTTCACTTAAATTGTTAAATGCAACGGTTTATAACCGTTGCATAAAATACTTGTTTGTAGCGATTTCGATAAACCGATACATATTAAAAGCATATGCAATGGTTCATGCAACGGTTTACTTAGACAAGGAAGGAAATACAATAATTGACTACAACGGTTTTGAACCGCTACAAAATCATTGCATATTATTCGAATATGCAATGGATTTTGCACCACTACTAAGAAACTGTTGCATAATGTTAAAAATACAGTAGTGACTCAAAAGGGTTTAATAGCAAAAATTACTTTTCAATTATTGGATTTTGATAATTTCATATATTTATTATCTATTTTTGTGATTTGAACTTCAAATTATTATTTTTTGAACAAATCTTGTCATTATTTCTGTTGTTTATAACAATCAACTATTTTACTATTAAGTAGAATGTTTAAACGACGTAGTTTAAGGATTTTATTGTTATTTTTCTATAAAAAAAAATATTTACAAAATAAAATAAATTGAATTAAAAGGGTTAAACTTTTTTTTAAATAACTCTTTAATTTTGAAATTCAATCGAGAGAGAGAGAGAGAGAGAGAGAGATTGAGTTAGATACGGTGAAATTGCATGTTCATATGGATTCAAAGAATCCCCAAGGTGACGCAGCTCTTCCGATGAACAAATCGTGTAGTCTATTCATTGCTTTTCATAAATCAATACCTACAATAGAGTTGGCAATTCTAGACTAGCTTGTGCATTCATCACTTACATAAATCATAAGTTTTATTTCCCTTTCTAGTCCTAGAGGCAACTATAAGAAATAGCCGATGCATTCAAGGTTCACCCCAAAAAAGTGATGAGGTAACATTATTGATATCTAGATTTGTTTCAATAGATGTAATTAAATGAACTACAAATGCGAAGCATTTATACCTATTCAAAAGAATGGTAATTGTTGTATATGGTTTGAATTTTATGGGTCAATAATATATTTAGCTCATTAGGTTTTTTTCTTTATAGGTGAGGCATTTAAAACTTATTATATCTTTATTTAGGAAAGAGAGTGAAAGAAATAGACTTTGTATTGAGCATCCGAGTTCTTGTATTGACCTGCTATCAAGCTAATAAAACTTTCATGTTGCCCGTGGAGTAGGCAATTTACCATACCAAAGAAGTACCGTGTGTTGACAATTTGTTTAGCTTTATCTTTTGATTATTATTTGTCATTACTTATCTTGTTTTTGCTATTTACCATAAAAAGCTGGTATCGGAGCACGGATTGTGCATCCGTGGTCTCTCTATTCATAATGGCAACTCTAAAATTTGATGTTACGTCTTTTGATAGTCAAAATAATTTTGGCCTATAGAGGATAAAGATGAAAGCTTTGTTGCGAGTGTGAAGGTTACGGTAAGACAATTAAGGATATATACCAAGATGACATAGCTTTTGCCAAAATTGAAGAGATGAATGAGAGGTTCATAGTGCTTCTATAATTATCATTATCGGAAAAGGTACTACGATAAATCCTAGATAAAGAGACAATGAATCGGACTATGGAAGAAGTTGGAAAGCCTCTACATCAAGAAATCTCTTACAATAAGATTGTATTTAAAGTAGTGTCTTTGTACACTAAAAATGTAAGAAGGTATATCTATTCAAGAGCACCTTGATTAATTTAATAAGATTGTTATAGATATGAAAAATTTTGATATTAAACTTGATGATGAAGATCAAGCTCTTATTGTATTGTGCTTATTACTTGCTTCGTATGAGAATTTTTTAATTCAATATTGTATGGTAAAGAGTCCATAAATTTAGAGGATGATAAGGCCTCTTTGAATTCTAGTGAGTTGAGACATAAGTTGAATGCTAAAGACATTGATAGTCGGGTAGATGGTTTGCTAATAAGAAAAAAATAAAAGTATAGAAAAGGTTATAAAAGAAGCTCAAATTCCGTTTGAAGTCTAGATCACTCTCGAATAAAAGGAACGAGTAGTGAGTGCTACTACTATTAGAAAAAAGCACATTACAAATCAGATTATCCTACTCTAAGGGAGAAGGAGAAACCACAAGGTCAAAGTTTTGAGTTTGTTAATATGGTTAAGGTTACCGATGTTGATGCCGTTGAAAATGTTCTTGCTATATTTCCTCTAAATGATTATTTTGATTAATAATGGATTTTAAATATAGGTGCTTCTTACCATACGTATCTAAATAAAGAGTGGTTTACCATTTATAAACTTGTAAGTTGTGGCTATGCTCTAATGGGCAACATTTAGCTTGTGAGATGATTAGTATTGGTATAATTTATAGCAAGTGTCATGGTTTAGTTGTGACGAAATTGATGAAAGTAAGACATATAGTAGATTTAAAGAAGAATCTAATTTCTTTAAGCTATCCGAATTCGAGAAGTTATAACTATTCTAGTAAAAGTGGAATTCTCAAGGCTTCTAAGGGTTCTTTGGTTATGATGAAAGTAACTTAGATTAATCATCTCCATGTGTTACAAGGTACTACAATAATAGGCTCTATAGGGTTGATTACTTCCTATTCTAAAAAGAAATGACTTAACTATGACATATGCATCTAGGCCACATGAGCGAGAGAGGTATAAATACTCTAAGTAAACGTGCTTTGCTTTACGGTGATCAAATGACATCACTTTATTTTTTGTGAGCATTATGTCTTAGGAAAGCAAAGTAAAGCGTATTTCTCTATTGGCACTCATTCTACAAATAGCACACTTGATTACATTCATTCAAATTTGTAAGGACCAATACAAATTCCATCCAAAGGTGATACATTTTATTTTATGATGTGTACTGATGATTAATCTCGAAAGGTTTGGGTTTATTTTCTTAAATGTAAAAGTGATGTTTTTAAAACTTTCAAGCAATGAAAGTTCTAGTAAAGAATCAAACAGGAAAGAAGGTTAAATATATTCGAATAGATAATGGCTTGAAATTCTATGGTGAAAATTTAATGAGCTTTTTATAAACTCTAGGATTGTTCAACATCGCATAACTAGACACATTCCTTAGTAAAATAGGGTGACAGAATCATGAGTAGGACTTTGATGAAGAGGCTAGAAATATGCTTTCTAATTTGAGTTTGGGAAAGGATTTTTAGGCTAAAGTAATTAACACGACTTGTTATCATGTCAACCATTATCACTCTACCATTATCACTCTACTACCATTGATTGTAAGACTCCAAACAAGGTATGGTCGGGTATAACTAGTGATTATTCAAATTTAAAAGTATTTGGATGCCCCGCTTATTATCATCTTTAAATATGATAAACATCAAACTAGAGTAAAGAAATACATATTTGTTCGCTATATTGATAAGGTGAAAGGTTATTATGGTTCCTTGAACCCAATTCATCTAAATTTATTATTAGTAGACATGTTACTTTTAACAACGGATATATGTTTGATCAAGAAAAGGTTATTTATGAGTCTATAAGAAAGGGTGAGAAAACTATGCATAAGGTAAAGTTTCGGATAGAGTTTAAAAGCGAGACTCCTTAAAAATCTTTTCTAGATGTATCCCCTATAGTTGCATATGTGTAATAAGATTTAGATATGAATGAAGATATCACGGAATCTAAACGAGTCTTTCTCAAAATCTAGTAGCTAATAAAGGAGACAAATAAAACCTTCCTAGAAATCTGCTTATGCTAATCTAAGTAGCATGTGCCCTTAATAAAGCCGAGATAATGGGTATTCGAAGCCTTCTACCTATACGGATATAGTGATTTATGAAAATTCTAGTCGGTGAGTCATTGTAATGATAGAAGAACTCAAGTCTCTTTACAAAAATCAAACTTGAGATTTGATGAAATTACCTAAAGGTAACAAAGTCAATGGATGCAAATGGGTCTATATAAAGAAGGCGAAATACCGGGTGTTGAAGATGTTTGATTCAAGGTAGGATTGGTGGCTAAGGGTTATAGTTAGAAGGAGGGAATTGATTCCAATGAAACATTTTCTCTAGTTATGAAACATACCACTATTTATG